AAGGTCCCACGGACCGCCCTGACAACCAACGATGACCTGGCTGACTTGAATGTCGTCAGTTTTATGACAGCTAGTGCCTCCCCCTGATGAGTTTTTAAACTTAAATGTTATATATGCATCCGGTACATCAGATGAGGAAGCGTCAAGTACTTCTGATGCCGACTAAGTCTTCAAAATGTATATTATTAGTTTGCATTCCCTGTAATTGTCATTCCGTTTACGTTTATTTCAGACAACCTGGTCATTACATTTAAATGTGCAGGTTTCGAATTGTTAATAATACTATACAGTAGCAATCATGTAGGTAAAACAAATAGTAACTACTGGATGCTTAAAACCGATCCACCGTCAATGTAAGATAATGAGAAAGTTTTTCTACAAATCTCTACAAAATTGATGTAAGGGATATTTTGGAAGAATTAAAAACTAAGAAGATATTGCGGAAAATGCGATGAAAGAGATCATGTGCGACCTCTTTGTATGATAATCAGTATTACATTCCCTGTGAGATATGTTAAAATAGGTAGATACTCGTAGGTCGATCATATTGTCCACTGGGCACCGTCGCTAACTCCGAGATTGTAAACACTTTCTCCTATACAAATATCCGTATTGGTTTTTTATAGCCCTTTGAAACTGCTTAGTTGGTGTTCCCACAACCTGTTTTATAAATCTGATCGATAGTGACTCTTTATTCATAATTTAGGAAGAGCTAGCTCACTATAAATGTCAAAAGTTAGTCTACAGGAGTGCGTTTGTAAATCACTTGGTAAGACGTTTTTGAACACGGCAGGAGAAGTGTACCATGTTCTATTTCCGTACTCATGGAAGAGGTACATCAAATAATTACAAATGCTGGAATTCTTACAGAGTAGTACAAAATACATTCTGTAACAGTTCAGGAACGCAGGCCAGCTTCGAAGTTATCAGGCTTTGGACGTTTAGATAGATGACAATTAAGTGATACACGGCGAAAAAGGCAAATGTATGATTGCTGACTGAACCTTGTCTAAATCATGTAAGAGACATACATTATAAAATGTCTGAATCTTAAATAGATAGCTGGGGCGTAGACACTTATGATACTCGAACGCTGCAAGATGTAGATGTGTCTTTTCCTCAAGTAAATTGCTACAAGCGCAAAAATCAAACTTTCGTTGATTGCACTCATGCCAAGCTATAGATGGAACGGAAGATATCACATACCAGAGGATGTAAGACTGTAAGGCAAAACGTACGAGTCCATGGGCGCAGGAATTCTAAAGCAGGGGGGGACAATCATAGGAGAGAGATATTTTTTTGTGAAAGTATACCCGCCCCAAAAAACTCATTGAACAGCGGGAAGTAGCATTTTTTTCAGGATGGCCAATTTCTCACTATCCCAAATATTGTACACAAAATCAAGCTAAATACGCAAATAAGGTCCAACCGGTTTCTCAGGGCCCCCCTGCCCCAAATGATCAATGCAGTCACGATCAGTTTTTACAGATACTATCTTATAACTTAATTTCTATCTAAATCCAATAAAATTTAACTGCAGTTTCGTGATAGATGGAACCCAACAGTACGGCCGTATTTCACGATTTATTTCAAATCGCTTACCAGAAAATTCACACACGACCATTGGCAAACTTAATCGACCTCCAAGCCATACAAGCTTCAGGCAATGTTGCCGAAACTTGAATCTTAGCTTGAAATCTCAGAAAACAGAAGATACCCGTCAGATTCCGCAGCTTGCAGACGATGCGACCCATGGCTATCTCTCCGAAAGGAAGGATCCACCGATCTTACTGCAATTTACTCAATTACAGAATCATGGTCTAGTGCAGTGTCCAGTATATCATAACGAAAGAGTGCAGTTGAGCTTGATTTTCGTCCTCTCCAAATATTCATCCTCAAACATTATTGTATTTATAGTATAATCACAAAACCGCTTGCTGTCGATAACCCTGCGTAGCTGGCGCGCTCTTTTTCATATATAAAAAACAAAACCCGTGAGTGACGAAACGAAGTAAGTCAACGGTACCTCAAACTGAGCAAAGCCTGTTTCTGTCTTGAGGCGATATCTGTTTATACGGTGTATCAAAATTGTCTATCTAGGTAAGTCTGCACACAATAACAAAGCCTCCAGCGAAGGGACGACTACTAGACCCTTGAGGATTCCTTGAAAACCGACCTTTCTCGATCTAAGTCCTTATTATTTTGCAGAGTCGTTGGCTTGAAGTCGAGAAACTACTATCAAGGTATTACAGACTTGAAAAGTTTGCCTTCCTACTAGAAAAACATTATATATATATATATATAACTTGAGACGTGGTCATTGTCGTCTAGACCAGTTAGGTGAACTATGAACTGCACAAGTATCAAAGTTCTTGATAAAGAAAAACACCTATCCAAACGTTTATTCCTGGAAATGTCCCACATTTTCATGAATGACAACTGTATGAATAAAAAGACAGATGTTAAGCAACTGAGCCTCATTTACTCATATTTGCTAAACTGCGAAAAGTTGGAGCACTTACACATCTCTCCGAGTTTTGACTTTTCACAACCATAAATGGAATTTGGTTTTTTGGTCTATTCCACCCTTTCCCTCCAAAATTCCGTTCCATACAAATTTTGAATAATTGTTTTTTCTCATAATAAAATAATTGTCAATCTCATCAACAATATAGTTTGTTCAACTGCCTCTGGTCTGTTGACAAGTTCTTATTTAACTTATCTTGATAAATCACACCATCTGAAGTGACTTGGCAACATAGCACACATTTTACAAAAATTTCCGTTCCATCCATCGACACTGACACCACCATTAATTTTAACTTTCGTTCTAAATATTTTTTAATACGTTTTGATATATTCCTGACATACAGCTGTGTGTATTTTATATTAATTTTAACGAATGTACCATGTATCCAGCTTTCACCAGGCTACTAAATGTTTCCCTCAACCTAACCGTTAATAATATTTAGCAACAATCTCACATACTAATGCAAGTAAGTCAAAATCAATTTGCACAATCGTTGCTATTTCTTCTCAATGTTATTGCAGCTCTCGATGAAGATGGCAAAGTCCATTCAAAGCTACAGACTAATAAAGTATAAAAAGTCCTCATTGCTTTCGAAGTACCCAACTAAAGGCGGAAGCTTTATTTTTCTCCTATTTATAATGTATATTATATATATATATATATATAAATAAATAATTTTTAATTTAATTTAATTTAATTAAACGTTGATTGATGTTGGAAGAAATTTGGAGATTTATGTATATATATATATCAAAACATTTCCGTCTTTTCCAACCTAAGTGGCAAGGCAAATGAGGCATCCTTAAGAAGTTATCAAGTCAAGATACTTTCACAATTGTGGATAAGCTGAAGAGCTAGAAACAGCTGGCGCTAGCTAGGTTGGACGTCATGTGTAAGGTTATAAACACAAAGATGTCAAATGCTGATGAGCTGCTTACGTAAATAGACGTCAAAGCGTCATGACGTGAAAACTAAATTATGTTTCTATTAAATCTGTCTTTTTACCATCTATATTTGGTAGTTTGACCCCTAACCTAGCGGACCCAAAGCTGGAAACCTTTGCGATTAGATATACTTAGTGACATTAGAAGTGTTACATCCAGAAAAAATAATTCTATCAACTTGATTTTTTGGTGAGGTAGTCTAACGTCAAAAATTAAACTCTCACAAGTAATAAGAAAAAAAATAATATGTTGGGCGACCCTGCAGCTGAATACACTCCTGTATTTGTCTAGGGATCGATAAAATGAGATGATCAATATCTGGTCGTGGTACCTCATTGCAAGCAATTCGAATTTCGTGGATTAACTGTCGCAAAGTCTGTGGCGGATGGTGAAAGATTAGTCTCCTCTCCATCATATCCCACGCATGTTCGATGGGATTCAAATCCGGTGAACGGGGTAGTACATCATCAACATAACGCGCAGCAGTTATATTGCCTTGAACAAAGAGAAGAGGTGATCGGCTACCATAGGCAATACCCCCCCAAACCATTACTCCAACAGTCGTGTGTACATGCCTCTCAACAGCAAATTCAGTACCCTTCTACGACCATCGTGTGTACCTAGACAGAATCTCGATTCGCCGCTGAAGATGACACTATGCCATTCCGCCTCCCAGTGTCGCCGTTCTCGGTTTCATTTCATACGTTGACGACAGTGGTCCGCAGTCAGAGGAAGCACTAAACTTGGACGGTATGAAAAAAGTCCAAAGGCTCGAATGCGGCTATAGAGTGTACGCATAGTAACAGGTCTACCTTCTTCTCCAAACCATTGGTCAGCGATCTGACGCGTAGTGGCTAGTAGGGCTAGTTGTCTGAAGCACCTATCTTGACGTTCTGTGGTACGCCTTGCTGGACCAGTTGATGTTCTCCTTCTACCTTCTTCTATCCACACACGACACACACACACATTACCGTCATTGCAGTACAATTAACACGCCGGCTAATTTTGCGATAGGTTAAACTAACATGGTGATAATTTGGACAACTTGTTATGTTTAACACTAGTAAATTAAAGGACAATAACTAAAGATATCTGTACTACTCAGATCTCTACTTTTTTCACAAAAACTAAGAGATAACATTTTAGCAAGTGTAATAAAAACAAATATAAAACTTTGACATCGTTGCTACAGCATGCTCTAAATATAGTTATTATGTTACCAAAAAACAAGTTAATGAAATTATTTTTTTTGAATATAACACTTCTATTATCACTGAGTGTATTTACATGAAGATTGCGCTCATCGCTTACGCAGTCAGGTGATTGTAGCCTTGCGATATGTTTTCCTATTAAAAATGAATTAGGTATATTTTCTCCAATCCACCTACTCGGCAGGATATTCTGAGAAGTTTTTGAAGCACAGCTAATTGGTAATGTGATCGGGGACCTCGTCTTTTTAATTTCCCTGATTTTAGTTAATTTCAGAATAATTGATTCCTGCTTTGATTCCCTGCGTTATGTTTCAGCATGTTCAGTTTTTCAACACCCACAAGTATCTACATGTTCCAAAAGTGGTCTTTGAATACATATTTGGAAGCGCGTCGTCAACTGTCACTATAGAGTAAGTACCATTTAGTATATCTTATGAAATAACTGGTTAACGACATATTTGAATTGAACGGTAATTCAATGTAAAAATTGTTTTACATGCTTTTGTCTGTTCAATTTATCGAACCCGTTCGGTTATACCACGCGGTTTGTAAGTTATACCTTACCAAATAACTTTAGATTTTGTAGTGATTCTCGTAGTGATTCGTAGTGGAACTGGTGTGTAAATTTAACCAACATACACCCAGCGGTAATCTAACTTAAATATAAGAATCACCGATTTGGAGCACATTTCAAATAGATGAAAATATTTGTTTGAAAACAACCACCACAAATATAGGGTGATTCAAATTGGGTTTCCACATTAAAATTATTTAAAAAAAAGAAGTAATAGAAAATTATAAAAGATATGTATTTGTCCTTTCAGGGTAGTTCATTACAATTATGCATGAAAGATGATATCAAGTAAATGACCACCGCGGCTCATGTGGCATGACGTAATCCGTTTCGAGAAATTTTCGACTACTCTTTGGTACAAATCAGGTCTTATGTTGGTAATTTCACGTCTGATCTCCTGTTTCAGCTCCGCAATTGTGTTCGGGTTGTTCTTGTAGACTTTGCTCTTGAGATACCTCCAAAGAAAATAATCTAAGGGGGTTAAATTACAGGATCGCGGCGGCCAATTAATATCGCTGTTAGGTGAACTAACGCGACCTGGAAACTTGTCGCGCAGTAATGGGATCGTTTCTCCTGATGTGTGACCTAGGCTTCAATTCCTGTGGTATTTGAACTTTGTATGGGTGTAACTCCAAATCTATTGTTAAAATCACCTTGGAGTGGAATAGGTAAGGTCCAGTTGCTGCGATCGATGACAAATCGATGTTTTTGGATTTTCGGACACACTTTCGGCAACAGTAGCAATATTGTGTTCCGACCGACCTCTAAGTGCATGCCTAGCGGTTTTGATGTTAGCGACGGATCCAGTTTACTTGAATTTTTGCTCCAAATTCCAAATTGTCCTTTCACAAGGCCGATTTTATGCGCCAAAAAATCCACGTAAAGCACGAAATGCATTCTTCCTTGATCGGCCGTTTTCATTATAGGCTTGGATAATTTTAACTCGTTGTTCGGTAGTATATTGCTCAAAGACTGTTTTGTTTACATTTTGACGTTAGAAATGGCACCTTGTCGCTGACAAATTCAGTGGCGTTTCAAAATAAAAAAATTTTTGTGTTTATGTGGAAACTCAATTTGAATCACCCATTATAATCTAGTCGACTGGAGAACGAAGCGCAACTTTCATGAACTCTATTTGTGCATTGGTAGTTGCTACTGTCTGACCTCATCATCCACGATATATATTCGCACGCACGATCTCACATACTAAATTAATGGTGGCACATACTGCTGAACCGATATGATTGAAACATATCGTTTTACGTCTTTTCAAAGAGTGAGGTTGGGTTGAATCTTGTCTGCCTGAAATCTGGTAATATAGTACGAAAAATACCACATCTTCTATTTGAAAATATTAACAATAACCAACTTAAGTTCACACATCTTTCTAGTATGAAAACTCCCATTTCAACTTAGATACTTGCGTACAAAATACTAAATAGGAAAGCAGACTGCAAATCAGTCGAGCTATATGCTGAGAAAACAAGGCAGCCTTATTAGGCATTCAGCGCTTTAAGCCGAAACAAGGCAACATTGCTCTGGGTGCTGATACACGGAGGGTGCAAAGGCTATGAGAGAGCAGGTGAGTTAGCTTAAGAAGGTACGGCCAATAGGTCCTAAGCTAATCTGTGTCATGACGAGAATACCATGTAGTCCATAAAAGATTGGATTACGAAAAGACCCTGAAATGTCGGAAAAGCAAGCTTGGACAAAACATCAAAGAAGGAAAACATACATCAATATATGAGGCTCTTCAGTCTGGCAGAAGAGGACATGAGCCTGTTCTGCAGAGAGCATGACGAAACTCCAGTGTATCCCTTGTTTCACTGGAAAGGTCTGATAAGACTAAAGTAGGCTGTGGAATCTAATTTAAGGAGCAAGGCTGAACACATTGGTTTGATCAGTGTAAACAACAGATCCGCATCAAAGGCTAATCTCTAAGTATAATCAAATCCAATCTAGTCTAAGGTAGCCACTCCACGGTAAGCCCAGCACAGTTTATCAACCAAGACCGTCTAGTTAACTAACCGCATTATTTAGATCCAAAGGTTAATGTAATATCGTCTAAGAGTTACTGCGTAAACGAATGCCGGCATCAAATAGACTAACTGGATAGCGTTAGAATTGAAGTTTCACAATTTAAAAGCCGGTACAATATACCCGACTTATTCCTAATGTCTGAGAGACATACATTTTAAACGACGATTTAAAAAACCTTCATATAAGAAACCAACCTTATTCCATGCTCCAACATAATTGGATTGCTTTATTTTTGGTAAGCAAATAAAATGAAATCGCCCTTATCTATCTAGCCTTCCCAACATAACTGTCTGTCTGTACGGTTTAGTCTGAGATGCCGTGGACTGTCCGTCAAGTGCGCCTCGGGGAGCAGTTGAACGTAATCGGCCCCCTGAGGCAGGGGTGGCGTAGGAGGGCCGCAGACAGCCCCCTAAATGCGGTCCAGTCACGGCACCCCAACATCAACTCTATACGTCCCGCTTAATCGACCAACGAGGACGAGGAGCGTCATTTGATGTCCAGATAGACCGTGAGCTCACGCACCCTTCGAGAGATAGTTATGGTTAAAATCTAGATATTTTGTCAGAGATGATTCATAGCATGTTAAGTACTGTAACGGCAACGTGAGACGTCGTAGTCATTGCATTCGTTATATTCATATTTTTGAAGTTGAGTGACAAAAAGAATGCGTCAAGTAGGTTGGCTCACTTCCTATGCAACGCTTCATCAATTCATAAAGCATTATTCGACATAACATATCTTAGCTCCTCTGAGCTACGAATATGTATAACAAAGAAGTTAAACGGATCAAGTCAGTCAAACATGCTAAATTTATGAAAACGAAAACTAAATCCAACACTCCGCGTTCCACTTACCTCTCATGCTTGACCCATATACTTCAAAGTTGAATCATTTATTTTAACTGCCTGTAGGACTCGTCAAAAGGAGTTGATATACCAAAAATCACCTATATAACAGTTGTACTGGGTGCGCCATCTATTACATTTTTTTTAGCTATAAGTTTATGTGTTACCATGTGAGTCAAAAGTCATCTGGTATGCTTATGCATTTATATGAACTGTCAAAGGGATGCCATTTATAGTCATGGATTCGTTTACAACACAACAACGCATTTTGGTTATTTATTTATTTATTTATTTATTTATTTATTTATTTATTTACTAGTATATTTACTAGTATATACACTATCCGAACGGTTTATTACACCATTTAACGGATAGGAACACAGGAATCAATTTTAAGACAAAATTGTTCAAAAATAACTTAAAATTGCCAAATGACTTAACCTACTGTTATGTAAAATCTTTTTAAGCTACGCAAATTACAAAAGAACAAATCTACTGCGTTTCTTGCACGTTCAAAGTTGTTACATACTACATATCCGAGATGAAAGCAACGCATTGGTTCTAGCTACGTTTAAGTAAAAGTATTTTGAATTGGATCGCGTCTTAGCATTAGGTACATGAATAAGAATCTTACCAAGTAAATATTCACAATCTATGGCATTATTAAGCGTTTTATATAAAAATACACAAGCAGCGTAGTTTCTGCGCTTCTCCAAGTTACAGAGGTTATATCTGCTAAGTAATACATCATGCCTGAAGCCAACTTCTGGATACGTACCATCTTCCTTGTGCCATAAATATTTCACAAACCGCCTCTGAATACGTTCAATTTTATTCGAGTGAACTTCATGAACAGGATACCATATTATAGAGCAGTATTCAATTTTGGATCGAAAAAATGAATTATATAACGAGATCATGGTATGAACATTATTGAAATGCCTACAATTTCTGATAATGAAGCCCAAACTTTTATAGGCCTGGCTAACAACAGTATCAATATGCGAAACAAATGTAAGTTTGGTATCAAAGGATATACCTATGTTAAGTCATGAAACTCTTCACACATGTTAAGTTGCGAATTTTCAGTGTAATATACGAATCTGATTGGAACAAGTTTGCGCGTAATAGACATAGTGTAGCATTTATCAGCATTAAGGTACAGCTTGTTACGGTGACACCACTTATTTAAGTTGCTCAAGTCGTTTTGCAATATATTACAGTCGTCCATGGTTTCAACCCTACAAAAAATCTTCAAGTCATCTGCATATAGAAGGCAGCTACTGTGTAGCTCCCTAACGACGTCATCAATGAAAATTTGGAAAAGCAGAGGGCCAAGAGCAGACCCTTGAGGTATGCCAGAAGAAGGTATAATCTGAGTGGAGGTGAAGCCCCTGTATTCGACTTTCAGGCATCTGTTTGTAAGATAAGATTTGAAAAACTTCAAGAATTGATGGGTCAACCCTCGTGCAGCTAATTTCTTTAACAAAATACCGTGATCTAGCTTATCAAAAGCCTTCGAAAAGTCAACGTAAGCAACATCTACTTGCCCCCCTTCGTCAACAACTTCAGAGCAAAACTGTTTAAAACACGCTAGATTAGTTAAAGTAGATCTGCCTTGGAAAAAACCATGTTGATTTGGAGAAATTTCGCGCTTAACATGGGAGAAAATTATATCATGCAGTATACATTCGAAAACCTTACCGACGTTGCTTATAATCACAACAGCTCTATAATTCTCAATGACACAACGTTCGCCTTTTTTAAATATGGGAGCAATCCTAGATGTTTTCCAAGCCATGGGAAATGTTGTAGTATTAAGAGATATGTTATACAGATAAGCTAAAGGTTCAGCTAAAACAAAAGCACAGTCTTTCAGTAAACAAGCAGGGATTAGATCTGGAGTGGAAGATACCTTGGGTTTAATCTTTTTCAAAGCGGCAACAACCTGTTTTTCAGTAATCATTGGTATATTCAACGGTAATGAGGCGCAGTCAAGTGAGTCTGCGGGTGCAAAGTTTGTGGAAGGTGAGTATGTGGACTTGAAAAAATCTGCAAAAGCGTTGACAATATCTTGCGGTTCGTTAAGTTGAGTTTTATCAAACATCATGGTATCAGGGATATGAGAAGTATTTCTCAAAGAATCAATAA